TGGGGAGTCCCACTGCCTGCAGTCACGCATGCTGGCTGTGCAAGCTTCAGCTAATTACTTAACGTCTCTGGGCTTCCCCGTGTCATCAGCAAAGAAGTAATCATTACATCTACCTTGTTGGGTGTAGTCAGGGTTAATGGGCGCCAACATAAAGGTTGGATTAGAGAGCGGCCTGGGCCCAGACTAACCCCTTCCCAACTCAATTCCTCATGGTAAAAACAAGAGTACTAATCCTATTAACCACCGCCTCTCCATCACACGTCTGCATTTTGCTCTTGGTGGGAGGTGGTGATGAGACCCCATAGGTGAAGGCTGTGCACCAGCAGAGCCAACGCCAGGGCTTGCACCCAGCCTGACCACAGCCCACCACCCTTCACTTCCCAGGGCCAAGGAGCTTCCCTAGAGCAGCACTTCTCTGAGGGGGTCGGTGGACTGGAGGTTTGCTAGAGGTGCAGAGTCTACACTCCACCTCCCACCTCCTGAACCAGACTCAGCAATCTACTTAAACAAGCCTTCAGGGATCTAATACCTGCTACAGTTCAAGAAGAAGCAACCCAGACCTCCGAAAAGGTTGCTGTGTGAACTCAGGAGTGCCACACTCAGAGTGTGGCACGGAAGGAAGGAGGGTGGGTGAGGAGAACCTGCTGTGTGACTTCTGGCCATATTCTCACCCTCTCTGAACCTCGGATCTGCCATCTTTCTTGGAGTAGAAGCAGAGGAGGCTGGTTTTAGCAGGCGGCCATTACCTGGTACCGAGGAGCTGCTTCCTGGAAGCTTTACCAGGTCGCAGGGTTTTGACCATGCTAAGAAAGACGAGCCTGCAGCCTCCCGACACCGCAGTGTGAAGCGGGAAGGGGATGCAGGTGGCTGCTGAGGGTGGGGCCCGGCTGCTGTGGAGCTCTGTGGAGACCGAAGCTCTTCCTCTGGGAACCCGGGGTAGGGACACCTTTGCCCTGGTGCTCAGAGCATACAGGGCTGGGTACTCCCTTACTCAGCCCTCTCTCCCAGACCAAGTCTCCAGGGCTCTCAAGAAACGTTCCCCTGTCACTGGGGGCTCCCCTGCCAACGAGTCCCTCCAGTTGCCCACAGCATCACGGCCTTCACATGGGGAGGAGGGCAGCGGTAGTCACTGACGCAGCCCTTAGCACCCGGTCTTCCGCCGCGGCCTCCTCTCCTCCCCTCCTCTCCTCCACACCCGCTCGAAGTTGGCAGAACACAGTCTCCCTTTTCGAGATGAGACTGAGATGGTGAGGGCAGAGTGACTTGCCCAAGGCCACCTGCTCCCTTGTGGCGAGGCCGCCATGGTGGCCATCCGTCTCCTCGGGGCTGGTGTCCTGCTCTGGCTAATGCCCTGGGCCAGCTCTGAGACTCTCATTGTTAGTCTGGGACGAGACTTTCTGACCTCAGAGACCACCACCCAAGTCCACACTGGCACACCCTGGCTCATCCAGAAGGGTACACTGGGTTACGCTTCAAATGGTTAAAGGGGACGAGCCATGCGTTTCCCAGCAGCCAGGCGCTGCAGAAAGCTGCGGTTTCACGGTCCGCGACTCAGCATAGACTTGGGCTGTGGAGAGACTGCTGATCCTACCCAATTTTCTCACCTAACATCCCCTCTACCCGTCAGTCTTTGGGGCCTCCGGGAACCCCCAGGCCCCTCAGCCATTGTTCTCACTAATAGGACTCTGAGCCAGAGCCAGGTGCCTCCTGGGTGGTGGCTGAGGGGTCCACAGGGCCTCACCGGTACCTGCTTCCTCTGCCTTGGAAATGCTGAGCGCCACAGTGAAGGGTGACTCGTGTCCCCACTCAGAAGAGAAAACCAGCCAAGCGAGTCTCTGTACACACCACGGCCCCGGAGCCTGAGGATGCAGTGGGAGTGCCTGTCGTGCCCTGCCCTGTCAGCTGTGACTGTGCACGCTGCAGCACCCCACCGGGCCTCAGTCCCTCTTTGGTGGAAGGGGCCTTCCCTTGCTGGGTGGCTGCGGGGAGGAGAAAGTGAAGTAAGCCAGCTCTGCTTATTCCCACTGCGCAGACCAGCTAGTGCTCGGCCAGGAGGCACACTGCCCTCTGTGGCGTGGGGGTCCCAGCCCTGCTGTTGGCTTTTAGCTCACTAACTCCCTGCAGCTGACACGTCATCTTCCCGCATGGTCCCTCCAGGAGGGGCCCAGAGTTGGTATGGTGTGAGGCCATCCTAGGGCAGGTGGGCAGGGGAAGCACTGGGGAACTCGGGGTTCTGCTCCAGAAGGCAGGCCCCTCGAGAGGCTCGTGCGGGAACTCCCTGACCCCAGGGGCTCATGTGGGTGCCCGGCAGGGGCAGGGAGTGAGGACGGCCACATTTTACAAAGGTCTGGCCTGGGAGGCAGGAATTCTGGGTTCAAAGTTGTGTGACTTGGGCTACTTCAGGTCTCTGAACCTCGGGCACTAAAGGCTGCCCATGGCTGTCTTTACTCTGATGTCACAAGAGATGAAGGACTGGCCCACAAAGGGTCTTCAGCAAAGAGCGGTGGAAACTAAACTGGGGGCCCAGGGCGTTGTGGTCCTTCCCACTCTCGGCCTATGCTTGGATGAGGACAGCAAAGCTCAGGGAGGTTTAGCAGCTTGTCTGAGATCGCGCCGATGAGCAGCACACGGCTACATTTCTGGCCCACCAGCTCCTACAGCCAAAATCCTCTCTGGGAGGGTTTTCTTACCTCAGAATGGTGATCCCAAGGACTCAGAGAACATGTCTCCTATCCTCGCTGACAGATGCAGGAGGGAAAGGAAGTGTCTCCACAGAAGGACCCACACTGTGAAGGCCGGCTGCCTATTGATGCGCTGTCCAGGGAACGCTTCAATCCTGGAGGCATGCGAGCAGGAGCTAGGCAGCTGGGTGGACAGTTGGTCTTGAAGGTCCTTAAGAGAAAGCCACCACTGCATGACTGCTAGGCAGACCCAGCCCTGCTCGGTTCCCCACCCCTCCTCCTGCAGACAGGCCCAAACTCACACACTTGGCCTTCCAGGTCTCTGGACCCAATCGGCCTCGCTGTTCTCATTTGCCTCCCAGGCACGGGACAGTTTAATGCACCAACTCTTCAGGCCACCAGGGAAGGGAGATCATGTTTACTGAGCAAGTCCCCGGGGCCAGCCCCTGCTCTCCCCCACCAGGTACTTTACATACGTCGTTTCATTTTCTCTTCACTGCACGCCAGGCCCTCAGGTGCTACTATTAGTCTCACTCTGCAGATCAGCAAACTGAGGTCAGAAGGTTCAAGCAAGTGCCAAATGTCACACCGAAAGACCGCTGAAGAAGGAAGAGGTGAAGGAGAAGGCTCTGAGCACGTAGGGTTCCCAGCTTTGAGCCACTGGTCCCCAGAGGCATCTGCAGCGGGTAGGCATGCTTGGTTGCCCATCTGTCTCCAACTCTTGAGGAGCCCCATCCAGACACTGAATAAGGTGGAACCCCACGAACTGACTAACCACAACCACAGACCTGGGAGTGTGCAGGAGGCAGGCACTCTCCCAAACCCGCCCTGGCCCAGCCCTGGCCCAGCCCTGACCCAGCCCTGGCCCAGCCCTGGCCCAGCCCTGGCCCAGCCTTGCCCCAGCCTAGCAGTTTCTCTCAGTGGCTGCGACTCTAAGAAGGGTGAGGCAGTGCTCAGTCAGCCTGGGCCTGGATGGGGCGCAGGTCAGACAGCAAAGCCAGGACCTGCCCAGGTTCATTTCAGCCCCACTGCGCATGCTCAGAGCGATGAAGCACTCTCCTGGACCTGGAAAAGGAAGCTGGCAGGGTATGGACGAGTGGAGCTCTCTGCAGTAAAGACAATGAGAGGGTGTTAGGGAACATCTCACTATCTTTACTGCCGAGAGCCCAACCTGATCCTTTACTCTTCAGTCTCTCTTCCTATTTTATAGACAAGGAAACTGAGGCTCTGTTATGCTAGCATCAGAGATGGGGTGGGATCGAGCAGCCAGGACCCCTGTGAGCACAGATCAAAGGCCTGGTGGTCGTAGCTGGTGGACATGGGAGGTAGGTTGGTTACCCTTCCAGGCCCTGCCAGGTTCTTTACCCGCATCCTCCTATCCCTTCCTTACCCATTTCCTCACTGCAGCTCAGGCCCCCTCCTGAAGGAAGCCTTCCCTGATCTCCCCCTCTGAGGCTACACCATGTCCCTGAGCCATGGGCATGACCTATTTCCCCAGACCAGCCTCCACAGTGGACTGGATAGGAGGAAGAAAAGGAAGCAGCTATCCTGGGGACCCCAGGGACCCAGCTTCCACCCTGATTCTCACGAGGCTCTGGGTGGTCACTTTCCTGCCTCTCAGTGGGACATTCAGGTCTACTCTCAGGGCTGGTGACCATCAGGGAAGAAGAACCTCTTGGACCAGGGCCTGGAGCACAACTGTGACTCTCCCCTAGCCCATACCCAGCAGGGCGTGGTCTCTGAGATTTAGTAAGGCCAAGGCATCTTGAGGGCAGCATTAGGGAAGATCTGTCTCAGTCTCTCACCTGATGTAAAACACAATCCTGCCACCCTGCTTTTGCACAGCACTTTAAAAAGGCAAGCATCGTGGTGACCAGACTGGTCTGGATTTTGCGCTGCAGATTTAGTCAAATCCCTGCCTCTTAAAAACTGTGAGACATAAGAGATGCTATTTAACCTTTCTGAGCCTCAGTTCCTCCAGCTATAAGTGGGGACCTTACTAGTCGCAGACAATTGGTTTTTAATTCATATTTACTCGCCCCAGCCCCTAGCCTCAGTTTCTCCATATGAAAAGTGGAGGCTTGGAGGATGCTGGTTCACAGGCTATTAGCATCCGGGAGACAGTGGGGGAGGACGAGTCTGGACACTAAAGCATAATCCAGAGAGGAGAAGCGACGAGCCTGGACGCGGCCGAGGCGGGTGGCCGCCGCCCGCCTGGGCGGGGAACCCCCTCTGCAGCCGCCCAGGGCCAGCGAAGGGTCATTTCCTTCCGCGTTCAGCCTTGCCTTCACCTCTCCTGTTTGCCCGCGGCGCCGGCAGCTGGGAAATCGGGCCAGGCCGGATTTCCTCCGCGGACCTGCGGCTCCTGGAGTCACCCGCGCCGCCCCCCCGCCAACCCCGGACCTCGAGGAGCGCTGACTGCGGACTGCGGACTGCACGTGCGGCTGCCCCGTGCCAGCCCAGGTCCGCATCCGCAGCGCTTCCTTGCGACCCCTCTCCCTCCCGGTCCTTACATCACGCCCTCTTCGTCCCCTCTTCCCTGCCTAAGTTCTAGCAAAAAGCAGACGCTGCACCCACCTACCCTGAACCCCAGTTCCGGATGAAACCAAAGCCCCGGTTGTGAAGCTGGCGCTAGGACCCCGCGGCTGCACCGAGGGGGGCGTGGTGGGGCGGGTCGGCCAGAGAGTATTTAAATCCGAGCGGCCCCGTGGGCAGTGAGTGCCGGGAGCCTCCTCGGGCCACGACCCCGGGTCCTGGCGCCGGGTGGGCCGGGTAGGTTTGCGCAAAATGTGCCGAGGCTGCCCGGGACAGGAGCGGCGGCCGCGCTGAGCCAGGTAGGCGTCCCGGCTGGCAGGGCCGACCGCTGGGGAGCCACCGCCCAGCGCCTTTAGCGAGCTCCCACCGCGAGCTTGGCTGCGAAGGGTCAGTCGAGACCCCCAACACACCCCAGCCAGTGTCCCCGCTTTAAGCGTGGACCCGGCTTGACCCTCATCTTCCCCTGAGAGCTCTCCAAGACGCCTGTCTCTGAGGTCTTTCCCGATGAGGCAGGTGGTCCCATTTGACAGCTGGGAAAACAGTGGCCGAAAGACTGGGACTTGCCCAGGAGCACGCAGCTAAACATAGCAGGGCAGGGTTTGAACTCAGGTTTCCTTCGGCCCTCTGATCCAGGCCTAGGGGGCTAGCTGTCCCACACGCGACAGCCTGCCCTTCTCTGCTGGGAAATTGGGGGTTGGGGGAGCACGGTACCCCAGGGCTGTGTGCCAGCCTTCCTCATAGGGGTAAGATCTGAAGGACCCCCCCACCCCATCCGCACCCGAACTGCCTGGAATTCCGCCGTCACAGCCACATTCCTTTGGGTTAAGGTCTAATTCCCCGTGGGACGCACACGTCTCCGGAATGGGGCTTGCCCCTAGTGATTCACTGCTCCTATGAGCTGCCGGCAGCTCTCCCAGGACCCCCTCTGCCAGCAAGTCAGATGAGGCAGGCAGGAGGGAGAGGAAGAGCCTGGGAGCCAGACAGCGAGCAGGGATCCTCCTCTGTGCCGTGTGGGGTCTGCGTGGGGTTAGCCTGGAGTAGTGGAAGTATTTGCTGTGCAGGCAGACAGACTGGACTCTGACCCTGACGGCTCTCCACTGCCTGTGTGACTCCGGGTAAGTCTGAGAGCGTCACGGGCAAGATGGGGGGCAGTTCTACCGAGTAGCTGGCTCAACACGTGCTGTGGAGAAAACCCAGCTGGTAGGTCAGGTAGACCTGGGTAAATCCCAGCTCAAAAACACTTACGAGCTGAGGCACTCTGGGGGTAAGTCACTTCACCATTCTGAGTCTCAAGTTGCTCATCCGAAAAATGGGAATTACAGTCATTGCCTCATGGAGTGGTTGTGAGGATTAAATGAGATGCTATAGGTCAAGTGCTTAGAAGTGTCCAACATCCTTAAATAAGAGGGGGATTTTTTTTTAAGTTCATGAAAAATACATACTATGAAAAAACTATACACGGATTTCAAAATGCTTTGCACCTGGGACCAGCAGATGGCATAACGGTTACATCTCTGGACTCCCTCATTGTCAACCACAGTTTGAGTCCCGGACCCGATAACTTAAACCTCACGCTGTGTGTGTGTGTGTGTGTGTGTGTGTGTGTGTGTGTGTGTGTATTGTCTAAAAATGCAAAAGGAGAAAAGAGAAGGGATTGTAGTATGGCCATCCACACTAAGGGTGATTTCTTGCTCTCTGTCTCTCTGTCTCTCCAGTGAGTGTACGCACCCTATAGCAAAAATCTCTCTCAAAAAAAGAATATTTTGCACCCAAATAAACCCATGCTTGAATTCCATTTTTCTACAAATGTATGTAAGTCCCCTTGTAGCAGTAGGCAGGATGGGCTTATTAGTGTAGCATTGTGCCTCCCCCCCAGGTATTCTTTGCACTTCTCCCCTGATTCGGAGGTTTCTCCTGCTTCCTTCTGCCCAGGCCACTGGCCCTGAGCCTGGCATCCCTCTTCAGCACACCTCCCAGCTGAGCCCTGTGGGTCACTGCCCGGTGGGGAAAGACAGCGAGTGTCCACGGCGCCTTCAGAGCTGCTTTGTACCTGATTGACCGTGGTCGGGGTGGCTCGTGCAGAATGGCAGCCAGGCTGCTTGCCCTGCAGATGGCACACGGCAGCTGCTGTGTGGGGTCTCGGAGGTCAGCGAGTTCCTGCCCTTGGGGTTCTTCCCTCAGTGGTGGTGGTGTGGGCAGGGGAGGCTGACAAACCATGGAACTCTTAGTACTGTGCTCACTGGCCACTGTGGGATGTAGCCCAGACTGGGGAACCAAAGAAGGCTTCTTGGAGGTGGTGACATTTAAACTGGAACCTAGAGGTGGAGAGGTGTTCATCAGGAGAAGTGAGGGGAGGAAGTGAAGATCTGAGGCAGTGGAGACAGAAGGGAACACGAGGCACCCAGAACCCAGGGTGGGAGAGAGGACAGTGAGAAATGAGGGTGGGAGGACCACTGGCCAGCAGGCACTCTCCCCCACGCCTGAGGGCCATCACTCAGTTCTGAGTGTCACTGAGTTCTGAGCACACCAGCTTTCAAATGGGCGGTGATGTTCCGAGAGTGAGATTTCCTGTGCAAGCTCAGCTTGCAATGTGGGTGACAGTGGGCCGCTGTGGGGCAGCTGTGGCCCCAAGGGGACCAAAGGATAGAGTTTAGAGACCCCACTGGGACCATTGCCTGCTTAGGCAAGAGGGGCCATCAGAGAAGCCACCTTAACGTTAAAGTCATCACTAGCCCAAGAGGTAGCCCTCACATGCATTTCTCCTAAAGCACCTTCAGCGTGTCAGTGTGGCACTCACGTACTGAGCACCCACTGTGGGAGACTTCTCTGTGCAGAAGTTAAGGGCACAGACCCCGGGGCCAGATGTGCCCGGGCCTGCCACCTGTTAGCCATGGTGCTTAGCCTTCGTCGTCCCTTCTGCAAAATGAGAATAGTAACAATGGAACCAAGCCACTGAGTTACTACAAAGATTAAATGAATTTTGTACTTGTATCGTGTCAAGAAGGGTACCTAGGGCCAGCCCCGTAGTGACTAAGGGAGGCAGGTCGCACTTGGAAATCAGTAGTTTGGCCAATCAAACTGGCCTCAGTGGCTTGAAAAACACAGTGGGCATGTGTGCATGCATGGCCAAGATCCAGATGGGATGGAGAAATGGAGGAATGGGGATTATGCTGTGACCACATGCCACTTGGGAGTGTGTTCACTCTCTCTCTCTCTCTCTCTCTCTCTCTCTCTCGGGAGTACCCACACCCTCTAACATAATAAGGGCTCTGTCAGTAGCACTGCTATAGAACAGGTCTCATTTGATCCTCCAGAAAACTCATGTCACTGTTGTTAACTTCAGAAGAGAAAACTGGAGCTCAGAGAGGTGGAGGGACTTGGCGGGTAGATGGAACAGGTAAGCAGAGGAGACCAGAGGGCACAGTCAGGCCTGGGTGACTCTGACTCCAGCGTCTGCAGAGGCCTATGCGCGTCCCTCCTTGTTAATATCTCTGTATCTATTACAGTCTCTCCTGTGTATTTATGTCCCAGTTCCCAGCACAGAGACGTTCAGTGAAGGTGTGGGTGGATGAATGAGTGAATGAAATTGACAGATCGATTTGTGTATTCTTAGCACTTGGCTCAGGTCCTCAGTGCAGGAGCAAGCGGGCCCCTCAGCACTGGGATCACCCTGCCAGGGCCTCTGCCCCAGGGGCCTCTGCGTCCTCTCAGCCCCACCCTGGTTGCCAAGCAAGTGCCTGCCCCTGCGCAGCAACCCAGAGCTCCAGTGAAAGTACTGGCCTGGCAGCCTGCTCCCGGGGAAGTCCGGAAGAGTGCAGGCACAGGGCAGGCCTCCTGGCGGGGCTTCCTGTCAAGGCCCAGGCCCACCCTCGAACAATGGCAAGGGCTCCAGAATCAGAGACTCAAAAGAAAAAGGGCAAAATAAGGGTGGGAGGGGCAGAGAATGAGGAATTCCATATGGGGCCTCAGCTGAGAGGAGGACCCACTTGTGGCCTGGGCTGAAATAGAATGAGGGCCCTGCCTCTCTGCCTCCCTGCATGGCCCAGGGCAACCCCTAGGGTCCCTCTACTTCCAGGGTCTTTTGAAGTCCCAAGTCTGACCCAGTCACCCCCTGCTCTAAAATCCTCACTTTCCCAGGGTAACAGCCCAACTCCTTGGCCCATTTCCCACACCACCCCCTGCCCTATCCACAGCACTTCATTCCAGCTCTGGCTGTGGTCTGGAGCTCCCCAGGGCAGGTCCGGACAGGAGGGAGCAGAGTGGGCTGCAGTGGGAAGGAGTCAGTGCCTCAGGTGTCCCCTTTCCTCCTCACCTACAGAGCCATGAGCCACTGGATCCTGCTGCTCCTGGCCCTGCTGCCCGTAGGCCTGGCTACCTCCCAACGCCGAGACAAGGTGCCCTGTAAGATGGTAAGCTTCCCTGCCCAGGCAGGCCACCAGCCACTCCCACCGCTGCTTTAGTAGGTTTCTCCTGCCCCCACCCCAGAGGCCAGAAGCTAGGGGCGTCAGGAGAGGAAAGGGACTGTAACTTGCTTTAATGAGCACCTACTAGAATATTTAAGTATCTTATTTACCCAACAATGCTTCCAGGTAAGTACTGCTGAGATGTCTCTTCCTCATTACTGCCCAAGTCAAATGCCACCTCCTTCAGGAAGCCTCCGCTGACCCTTCCTAGGCTGGCCTAATGTGCTGGTTCCCTCTCTGTGCTCCTTCAGTTCCAAGTTCCCCTCCATCTCAGTGCTGAACAGACTGAGTAGGGCGTCCAGGGTAGTTGGCACATGGGTCAAGTCTTTCTCTCTTGTCATACCGACAACTGCTATAGGGGGAGAACCAGGTTTGAGTTACTCCCAAGCCAGGGGGACTGGTTTTAAAGTTCATATAACCCTTAGCACCAGCAGATGGCATAATGGTTATGTCGCTGGACTCCCACTGTGGTTCGAGTCCCTGACCCAGCGGCTTAAAACTCACGCTAGGCATGTCTGTGTGCCCAAAATCCCAAGAGGCAGATGGAGGAGAAGAGATCACAGTGTGGCCATCCCCCCAGGATGTGATTTCTTGCTTTCGGTCTCTCTCTGTTTCTCCAGCAAGCGCATGCACCCTATAGCAAAAATCTCTCTTAAAAAATGTTCTTGCAACCCTATGGGGGATGGGAGAAAAAGACCACCTGGCTCTATGTGTAAAGATAGCCAGTCCCTGAGGCCAGGGCGGAGGGCCAGAGGATCCCTCAGACCTGGGGCTCACAGCTAGGAGAGAAGTCACTCAGGAAGCCAGGACACAGGCAGCCACCTGCCATGGCCCCTTCTGAGACTTGCAGCATCCTGCATGGTCACTGTGCTTGCTCCACAGAGCCTTTCGGAGAGTCCCAGAACACTAGGCCTCGGAGGCCTCGGACATGAGCACATACAGCTTACACACTCCACCGTGGGCCTGGGGCTCCAATATGTGCAGGGCTGTGGCCCCGCCAGGGCAGACAGGATGCCGGTGAGCTTCGAATCCCACAGAGATGAGACAGGGGAAGCCCTTACTGAACTGGTATGAGGATGACACATGGGAGTCAGAGCGAGGCACACACTGTCAAGGCTTGCTGATGGGACTGGCCTCTCTTATACTGTCCTCCCCCTGTTCTCTGGACCACGGCATTTCCTCTTCATCCTACCCTTTTCTGGGAAAGTCCAGGGTTCTTGGGAGCCCAGAAGAGACCACAGAGAGACCTGCATTTGTGCAGGAAGAATCCTGGCCCCAGACAGCACATTCTGTGGAAGAACAGGAGTCTTTAGCTGTTAGAAGACCTGGGTTTGGACCAGCCAGTGACGTGGTGGCTAAGGCAGCTTGATTCCACCTGGCCAACTGAGAAGTTCAAGTCCCAGATCTAGTGGCTTGAAAAATACTCTGGACATGTGTACATGTGTGCCTCAAATCCCAGGAGAATGGAGGAGAAGGGATTGAGGCACACATGTACATATGTGTAACTATAGTTAAAAAGGAAGGAAGGAAGGAAGGAAGGAAGGAAGGAAGGAAGGAAGGAGAAAAAGACCTAAATTCAAATCCCAACTCTGCTCCTCACTGGCAAGGTGATCCTGGGGTGTCCCTTACCCTGTCTAAATTAGGATCTGTATGTGGGGGTCATCGTATCAGATGGGTGGGCTGCTGGGGGATCCAATGAAACTGCAGGCTTGAAGTAGTAAGTAAAATGAAAAATGTTGAGTGGATGCTCTCTGATAAGAAAACAGAGTGGTAATGCGATTTGATAGAGGTCACACCACGAAATCAGTCTTGTCACCTGAGAATGTGGCTTAGATCTTGACCGTCTTTTCCAAGGCCTGCTACCCACTCCCCTGGCCCCCACCTTCTGGTCCAATGCTGGACCAGGCATGGGAAGGAAGGCTACTGTCGGAGTGGGGTGGGAAGCAGAAAGGAGGTCCTCTCTGGCAGGGTCATAAAGAAGATGGACTCTAGGCCCAGACCTCTGCCCATGGGCCAGGTGCTAGAGTGAGGGCTGGGACTGAGGAAAATAAAAACTGCTAGAAGGAATAGGAATGGCCGTTTTCCCCTTGGGAAACATTCTCCCAACATGGCTTCCTGCCTAACACGGACCATGTGTCTGGGTCCGATGAAGGGAGCCAGGATGTGGACCTGGGAGCCGGCCCTGGGATCCCTGCTGCTCACAAGCTCTGGGTCACTCTGGGTGCTCTGTGGCTCAGTTTCCTGCAGTCAGTACAGGGTTCTTCTCTTTTCATGTCTGTCCTTACATCTGCCTGTCATCTGCTGCCTATCAACCCCTCAAGCCTTCACTGAATCCCTCTCCTTTGCCCAGCACTGTCCTGGGTGCCAGAGACAGAGGATAGGCTGGGGTCATCCGGACACGGGGTAACTGGGCTGTGGGGGAGAAAGTCAAGCAGTCTGGGGTACAGTGTGGAAAGTTTCCTGAACCTGGTGGGGGTCTCGCTATCCTTCCTAGAGAGGTATGGCTGCTTCTAGCCACTCCTTACCCACCAATAATGCCAGCTGCCCCGCCCTTTCCCC